TCATTTCAACAAATCTTTTTCCCTATAGACAATTATGTAGATAATAGCAATAGGTACGAGTTGTGGAATGAATACCCCCGTATTTTTGATTTGAAAAACCGCATACTGACTGATACAAAATACGTACTACGGGAAAATGGACTTCACTGTACCTAAAAACATGAGAACCAGCGTGGAATATTTTTGGTCTGTCTGGTCAATAAAAAGAGGACCATAATAATAAAATTTCAAGGTGGTTTTGAAACCTTAAGATCTCAAAGTATTAATTATTCAAATTGAGTATGGTTCTAAGACAAAAACGCTCTACATAAAGAGGACTGATTAAAATTGATTTTTCACATTATGGTCCTTTTTTATTGTCCAGGCCTCTTCCGTACATGAAAAATGGATTTTAGTATGAAAACATCTACTCGTTTTCTAATGTATACTCACTACATATTCCATAGATAATTGTTTATAGGATGAAACGTATATGAAAATCGCGTCACAACGAACTTTATGATTCATTATCGCCGAAACAACGAATTTCATTGGATGGATTTATTTATATGTTGTGCGTGAATTTGAATTTTAAATTCATGCACAACATATAAACTCAAATTCAGGAAAATTTTATCACAGATTTCTACACATAATTGGCGAAACACGAATTTAAGGTTTTATTATAAATTTATTATAAAAAAAAACAACACTTTTTGAGAATGTAGAATTGGAACTATTGGCTACATTTGATTAGTGTTGCGTTCTCGTATTCAAATATTTATATTGGTATAGAGGTTGGAATCGTCCAAAAAATCCTTAGTCGACTACTAGCTGGTCAAACTTTAGTCGACTATTAGTTGATTATTTTAAACTATTTTAGTCAATACTAAAATTTTTTTTTAATTTGCAAATTACGAATTCATTTCCATTTGAATCTTTCATTTTTTCAAAATATTTCCACACAAAACCATATGTTACGATTCGTTTTTTTTAAAGGTCATCTGGAACTACCGCTTAAAATCATTAGAACTTGAAGCTAATGAACTATTGTAATTTGTATCGAAAGTGTTTATTTTTTCATATGTAAAATTATCACCAACAACACCACCACTATTGTCGTCGTCATCATCATATTGATGGTATTGATACTCTTCAGCATAGAAATTTTTTTTCCATTTTGAATGATAAAACACCAAAATGTAATTTGTCTGACAATAATAATATTAGCATAGTATTAGCATTATTATTATTATTATTATTATTATTATTATTATTATTAGTCGCCCAAGATAGTCGACTATTAGTTGTTCAAAAAAAAGTTTAGTCGATTCCAACCATTGTTTTGGTAACATCATCAATAAATATGTGGTGTCAAATTAATGAATTCATTTGTTTTTATTTGGCATGTAACATGGAATATATAATATAACAACAGACAATAAAAATGAGATCTTTTTTTACTTAGCTGTTTATATATAATTAAAATAATGAACATCTTTTTAATATTTTTAATATTGCTCAAATGCTTATGTTTAGTGGTAGATTCAGTTCCAACCGACCCAAGATTTGTACATGCCACTGTTGTGGTTAACAATAATTTATATGTTATGGGTGGTTTTTCTAATCATCTACCATCAAAAGAATTTTTTTCTCTTGATTTATCACAAGAATTTGATGCAACAACTCCACCATGGAAGGATTTAACTGAAACTTCACCATTGCCAGTATTATCAGCATGGGCTAAAGCTAGTTCCAACACTAATAATGATACAATATTTTTGTTTGGTGGTATTATGCTTGATACTGCAACTGGTGAATTGAATTTGAAAAATGTGGTTTACACTTATGATTTTAAAAGCAACCAATGGTTAGTAAATCCACCTGCTTTTCAAGGAACTGCACCTGAAACACGTAGAGAATTTTCAAGTGTTAGTGATCCATTGACTGGAAAATTATATATTCATGATGGAGTACATGATATAGGTATTACTACTGGTATTTTTTTTAATGACTTTTTTATTCTGGATGGAAATAATTTATCCTGGAGTCTAATTGGAAAAACTGGTGCAAGTATGCCACCTCCTAGGATTGACCATGTTGCTGTATTGATTGCTAATGGAGTAATTGTTTTTATTGGTGGAAGAGACCACTCTAGTGTTACTGGTCATATAACTGCAGTCCCCATGAATAAAGTAATAAATAATAACTATAATGATTAATAAAAAATGTGTAGTTATTAATTTAATATTAATTTATTATTTATTTAAAAAAAGCTTTCATTATATGATACTAAAGCTGATACTTGGGATTTAATGGTGATTATTAATTTAATAGGAGAAATATATTTTAATTGGAAAATATATTAATCATTTTTTTGTATTGATCAGACTACAGTTGGTGGTCTAGACATTGAAACCCGTGTTGGACATACAGCTGTATATGGTAAATAATAATAATAATAATTAAATATTTGTTTGATTGTTTCTTATATCATTATTAAAAAAAAATTTTTCATTTTATACATTTATTTCTTAGCTACCAATGGTCAAATAATAGTCTATGGAGGAACTACACCTGAACAGGGTACAACACCTACTCCTGAATTAATTGTATTAGACACAACTACAAAACCTTTTAAATGGATTACACCTCAAGTAACATCAGAAGTTGCTGTCAATTCACTTACACGCCATCAAGCAGACTTAATTGGAGATTATATGGTGGTAACATTTGGTAAATAAATAAATTAATTATAAAATAATGATGATAATATATGTATATGTATATGTATATTAAATCATTTATGTATCTTAGGTAATATAACAAATAAAGCTGGGCCACCTGTTAATATAAGTAATTCAATTCAAATATTTAATATAGTTGATTACAAATGGGTAAAATCATTTCCTGGTCTATCTTCTAGTAGTAAAACATCAACATCATCAACATCATCAACCTCAGATTCAGGGCTTGGTTCTACAACAATTCTAGCAATTGTGATTTCAGTTGGTTTTGCTTTGATTATTGCTACATTAGTTGGTCTTTTCCTTTTATATCGTAGAAATAAACAAAAAATGAATGTACAAGAATTATCATCAACTAAGGATGCTTCATCATCAGCTCATAGCACACAAATGACTTCTTCTTCTCCTCCTTCTTCCCCTCCTCCCCCTTCTTCTTCTCAAGATCAAATTAATAACAATGATAATTTGATGAGAGGTATTTCCACAGCAACACCATCATTAATATCATCATCTAATATTCAAAGTCCTTCAAATCATAATGCTGTTTATAGTTTGCTTAATAGCAATAACAACAGAAACAACAGAAACAATAATAATTTTGGTAATTTTGTTATCACACCACAAATACATAGTCCACCTAATTCGATTCAACAACAACAATTACAATTACTACAATCACTACAACAGCAGCCACAAAAATGTCAAACATTACAACAACAATTACTACAGCAACTATTATTAAATCAATTAATGTCAGCTAATCAATCACTTCCTCCAACCTCAAATTTACAGCAAGTTTCTAATACTATGGATCCAAATTTACAACCAGGATTAGAAAGAAGTACTCCAGGTTTAAATAATATTGCAATAGATCAAACACATACCAATATATCTACAACAGATCAAGTAATTCATAATGATAATGATGGTAATGATAATGATGATAATAATGATGGTAATGATAATAATGGTGGTAATGATAATAATGATGGTAATGATGGTAATGATGGGCAATGATTCATTATCACCATGCTCAGTAATAAAATACCCATTAGTAACAAATTCATCCATACAACAATCCATGCAATATGATGACGGTCTACAACTATCTTCTCAAAATTAATAACAATAATAAATTGTATTTTTTAATAAATTTTTTTTAATAAATAATAATTTTATATATGATTGTTAAATTCTTTTTTTTTAGAATTATTCTTACTAGATTAATTGAATTAGATATATTTGATGAAATATATAATTATAAATGTTGATTTGCTGATAAAGAGTAGATAAAAAAAAACAAAATATCTTTAATCTTTACTTTATTAATTTATTATAAAATAAAAACTTTAAGTTGATTGTATCATGATTAAAGCTTTGAACAGTTCACTTTGGTTATTCAGTTTACACTTGACCTAAACTTCACAAAAAAATTATAATAACTTGTAACTTGGTTTTAGCGAATGTGTTGCGAAGTAGAGATGCTGGAAGGATCTTATTTCTAAATAGATACAGTCTATAATTTTTATACCATGGTAATTTCTTATCCATATTCATACGCTTCTATTCATAATAATTCTTATTCGAATTATTTATTTTATTCGCTTTATTTGTTTTGTTCATTTTATTCGAATTATTCAAATTGTTCGTTTTGTTCGTTTTATTTGAATTATTCTTTTTGTTCGTTTTATTGAATATTTGTTTATTTGTTTCATTTGAATTACTCGTTTTATTTGACTAAACTTTCGATGTAATTAGAAGACTCAAATTCATAACGAATGAAACAAATAAATTGAATAGAAACTCTAAGGGCGTTTTATTTTTTAAAATTCATCATCATTTCCGCAAACTTTTTAAACTCATTCAAACTTTTATTGTTTCAGGTTCTAAAATACAACGTCTTTGAGTAATTAAGTCTGTGCCTCCAGAAAAATTCGTTCAACTGAGGCACTGGTTGCTATGGTTGACTCGGTCTAAAGACCTCCTATTGCTGCGTCATGTGGAAAATAGGACTTCACGTGATTTTAGTTTTAACGATCATGCATATCAGCATAAATTGCTCCTTTAAGAAATATTTCTAGATAACCATTACGAATCCCTCTATCTCCGCCAAAAACATATTAATATGAAACTAAATTATGGACGGAAGCCCAATGAAATTAAACGAACTTTTCGATAAAAAAGCATACTAAAAATTTAAATTGTTAAAAATTATTTCTTACTATTACTAGTGAGCATAGTAAAGTACGTGTTTTAAAAAAGAAAAGAACGCTACAACAAATAATTTTTTTGGGAATACCTCGGTCATTACATTAAAATTAAATACTTATCCTATCAACTAATGGCGCTATTTTTTAAAAAAAGTAGGAAAGAAAGTGACTTCTATACTTTTAAAATTTGCCCAAAATTTAGGAGGTCTTTAGACCGAGCCAACTATATAATAAGTTTGAAATTAATAATTTTAATTTTAAATAAGCAGAGCTTAAAAATTAGATTACCAGGGACTGACTGCCAAGTAGTTTTTAGCCTAAAAGCTCCGACAGTTTAGAGCTTTAATCATGATTCAATATTGCTTATATTGGAGAAATCACCACCTAAAAACTAGTGTTGGTTTCCAAAACTAGAGAGTTTCGCAACCGTGCGAAAGTCAAAAGGTTTCGCCATAAGTAGAAACTAGTTTTGATTTTTGACTATTGACTTTTGATTTAGTTTTGACATATAACTTTTAATTTTAGTTTTGACTTTCGTCTCTTCAAAATAGTTTTGGCGACCAACACTACTAAAAACCCAAACTAGATATTGGTTCAACCATAAAAAACATATCAATATAGAATAAATACCTTGTTGTATCCTCCTTCAGTTTTTCCTTGAGTAGTTTTATTTATTGTTTAAAAAGTTTTAGTTTCTTTACAAGGTGCACATTTGGCCTTTTTCACTATTATACCTTGAAAATGTTTTAAAAGGTAACCCAACTCCCAGTTCTGCTTTATTTATACTTGTTTTTCTATACTTCGGAGACTACTCTAATTTCGTTGCAAATTACACATCTGCCGCATAATACCATATTGGAAATGTTAGTACCAAGTAAAGTGTGTCAAAATCGCGGATGCCGACGGATGCAGCTGGAATTAAGTTAAAAAAACGTTAAAGAATATATCTGTAAAGTTACAGTACGTGTTTACATATCAACGTGTCACCACTTTTACTTTAAAATTACGTTACACGCATAAAAAATTAATGTAACATTTCAAACGTCCACCATGCTAACTTTAAATAGTATACATCAATTTCTTTTTTGAAAATTATTTTACTGATAATTTTTCTTGTAAAATAGTAATATTTATATTGAAAATAAAAACCATTTAAAGTCAAGGATATTAATATTAATAAAGCTAGAAATGTCGTATAAAAGATTATTAACACCAGACAGAAAGGAATTAGTGTCGAAAATTTATGTTGAAATGTGTGATATTGCTACTTCAACAACTGCTTCTGGCAGAGAAGAAGGAAAAAGTTATTTTTTACAATTAGTCTATGAAAACAAAGAACTTTCAGCAAAAGAAAAAGAATATTGTATAGAAAAATATATTTATGCTTTTGAACTAAATAATGCGATGGAAAAACAAGGAAAACCAAGAAAATGTAACAAGTGCAAAATAACAAGATACTCTGATAAATTTTGCGAAAAGTGTATTGGTCTACGCCTACAGGGTCTTTTCAGCACTTGGACATCTGGAAATGTGATAATTGATGATTTTGTTCAAAAATGTCAACAGCTTTCATCCCTTCCAAATAAAATTATAGAATGGATACCTTATGAGCAATTTAAAAATATAAAAAAGGTAACTGAAGGTAAATTCAGTTCAATTTATACTGCCAGGTGGAGAAGAGGATGTATATATGATTATGATGAAAATAAAAAGGAGTTTAGTTATTTTGGAGCTCAGTATGTAATATTAAAATCATTAAATAATTCAAGTGATCCAGGAAATCCTTTTTTTAATGAGGTAATTGATCTTATTTAAACAAAATTAAACCATTTATTTAAATTGATTGTTTTTATTTGTATAATTAATTACAGGTATTGAATTATTGTAAAATTAAATCGAATTTAATTGTTCCTTGTCATGGTATAACTAAATTCCCAGATAATGGAAATTATGCAATGGTTCTAAATTATTATCGAAAAGGAAATTTAAGAGATTATTTACGAAAAAATCATTCAAATTTAACATTAAAAGATAGAATTAAAATCTTTAAATATTTATGTGATGGATTATTTTATATACATAAAAAAGATTTAATACACTGTGATCTACATAGTGGTAATATATTAATAAGTGAAGGTGGTGGTGTTAATATTACTGATTTGGGGTCATGTGGGCCAGTTGATGAAGATATTTCAAATAAAATCTATGTAATTCTACCATATATTGCACCAGAATTATTAAGAGGAAAAAAATACACAAAAGAATCAGATATTTATAGCATTGGGATGTTAATGTGGGAAATATTTGCAGGCCATCCACCATTTGATGATAGAGCTCACAATCATTGTTTAATTTTTGATATATGTGCAGAAGGTTTACGACCACCAATATTACCTGGAATGCTTGAATATTATGCACAAATGATGCAGAGGTGTTGGGATGTGGATCCATCAAAAAGACTAACTAGTAGAGATCTTTATGAATTCGCTATGAATAAACATAAGGAAATTCATGAAAATAATGATGATAATAATAATAATAATAATGATAGTAGTAATACTGCTAGTAGTGGTGGCAATGGTTCACAACAAGTACCAAACCACATCTAGATGCATATCATACAAGTAGAATCTTAGATGGAGAGATCACTAAATCCAAAAGCTTGAAAATTTATACAAGTAATGATAGTTCGTTAAATAATCTTGATTTTAGCTCTTTTCTCCAAAATGTTGAAGGTGAATAAAATTTTCATTGTAAATTAATTATTACTAACAACATTAATTAATTAATTAATAGCAGAAAAAAAAATTGACGAATGACTAATTTAATCTTCACTATAAATTATTATCATCTTTTTATTTTATCCTTATTTGTTTCCCAAAGCTAAATTATAATAATGTTATGGAATAATAAACGTTTTACAGTTTTTTTTGATTCTTGTTAAATGGTGATATTATAAAGTGTCATACAATTACGGCTTAATTTTTGGAGCTACTTTTGTCAGTTAATAACTTACAATAATTCGGTGCTTGTCAATTAATTAGTTTACGGCTTTACTTTGGTTTTCAATTACTGCACCTAGACGAATCTGTGGGACTGTTGTACGTGAAAATGAAATTATGTGAATTCGCAATTCACATATGTGAAATTCAAATTTACATGTGTGAAATTCAAATTAGCCAATCAGAATTTCACCCCACTCCATAATATTTCAATTTCACATAATTTCAATTTCACATACAACAGTACCAAACCTTTGTTTACTCACTAGAGCAAATCACATTACCAATCGTTGTTAACGCTCACTATTATTTAACCAACATTAGTCCTAACCTTGCTTGGCTGCTTACTAAAGCAAGTAAATGTGGGATTTTTACCAAAGCTCCACAATCGTTACCTTTTACCAAAGCATTAACTACACTTGTTGCCTTTATCAAGCCCTTTAAACAAAGAAAATAAAGACAATGTTTTTATTTTTAAAAGTTTATTAACTATTATCACCTTATTAATATTAATATATAAGAAATGTCCGAGTTTTATTTTATTAGAATGTTAATTATTTATTATTTTCTTCTGTGAGGACCGAGGCTATTCTTTTTCAAGCGAAGACCAGAAGTTTGTTGATCACTACCATAGACAAAGATAAAGATGGTTTATTATTGCAAAATAACTCGATCAATCAATAATTGGTATTATAAAAACTTCCATTATAAGTAATTCGATAAAAAGCTTTTGCGTAAATTAAAATTAGTTGACCCTGAAACATAAAGTGCTGATGGTTTTATTTACCCCAATAATGTATCACGTTATAAGAAATGTTCGAGTTTAGTGGTAAATGAGCATGTGGAAATCGGATTTGTATTCAGCAAAAGAAAAACCTAGCTCCTTGGGAACAACTAATGAAACAAAGGAGAGATTGGGATACTCAAGAAAAATATAAAAAAAGACCTCGGAATGTACATTTACAAGTTTTTTTATATTTTATTAGCCTTTAAAAGCAATTTTTTACTTGCGTCATTCTTGACTTAATGGCGAATTTGATGTTAATAGTTTACAACTTTAGTCAAACGACATTAATA